CAGTCACCCCGGGGAAAGGGAGCGGCTGCTTGAGACTCTGTCCAGCACTCAGTCTGGTTTAAGCCCCGTGGCCTCTCGGGTCCTGGCCAGCCCTTGTGCCCATCACCACGTTGGGGGAGGAAGGCAGCTGGCAGAGGGCAAGCATGCATTGACCAGGCCTGGTAGTAGCCATGCTGGAAGCCCGGGTGAGGCTCGTCCCCATCAGGGCGCACTGAGAATGGGGAAATGCGAGAGTTGTCATCGCAGAAAGGAGCGGGTGCCAACCCAGAGAGGCAGCCGCTGTCCCTTCATCTGCTGGCGTCCCCAAGGACGCTGTTCAGTAAATGTCGCCCCTCTGGAGGGCTCCTGACCTTTCTCTGAAATGGAACTTCACCCCGGAGTGGAGCTCAGAGATGGGGAGCTTTTGTGATTGTGTGTGTGTGTGTGTGTGTGTGTGTGTGTGAAATATGCTTTCTTTTTTCGTCTTAGAACTTGTTTTGAGGACTGCGATTTCTGAATCTCTATTCTCTGAAACCCAGGCTTCTCCCACCCCCCAAATCCCAAACCTGGCCCAGCAGCCTGTGGGCATGAAAAGTGCTTCAATACAGTGGCCGGAGCAGGTTGAGGTGGCCTTCAGAGCTGCCCCCGATTAGATGTGGGACTACAGGCCCTGCCAAGCCACCAGGGTCGGCTCTTTTGCCTTCCCGAAAGGAGGTGGTGGTTTCCCCTCTGTGCTTATCCCAACCCAGACTTCCTCCACCTCCGGAAGCCCTGTCCGGCTCCTCTCTGCCCCTCACTCCCATATCCAGGCCACTGAGAAGTCCTGTCACCGCTGCCTTCAAAACAGACCCTGAACCTACCCTCGTCGCCCCCAGCACCCTCCCCACCAGGCTTGCCTGGGTCTCCCGCCGCAGCCAACTCTGCCCTCACCGGTAATGCTCACCTGGGCTGTCCAGTGAGTCTGCTTACCTGCAGATCAGAACATGTCGCCACCCCGCCAAAAAAGATAATTCTCCATCAGCTTCCCATTGCCCTGAGGGGCCATTCGAAACTACCGGATATGAGCCAGCCTCCGCCCAACTGTCTGGTATCTTTAGCCACCTTCTCCATCAGTTGCTGGGCTCCAGGCATAGGTCAACTGTGTTCCCACCCCAGGGCCTGATGGAAGGCACGTGAGGCCAGGTGCTGACTCCCCAAGTCCTGTAGACGCCTCCCGAGCACCTGTAATGCCCCAGCCTGAGGCTCTCTGAGCAGAGGGGACAGAGCCAACTGCAAGACCCTGACAGTGGAGGCCGAGTCTTCATGTGGGTGGGCTGTAGAGGTGGAGGACATCCCCCAGAGGCAGTTGCCTGCCTCAGGACTCCAGGACTCACGGGCCACTCCGCTTCCTGTCGCAGGCCTTCAGCTGAACCTCACCGCCTCCTGGGGGGACCTGCACTACCTGGGACTCACAGGCCTGGAGGTGGTGGGCAAACATGGCCAGGCCCTGCCCATCAGCCCACACCAGCTCGCTGCCTCCCCCCGAGACCTGAACGACCTCCCCGAGTACACCGACGATGCCCGGACCCTGGACAAGTAAGTGGCCATGAGCAGCTTCACCCTCTGGGACACCATGGTCCACAACGAGCTCAGACACAGCCCTCTGCCAGCACCTCCTAGCCACCCGGGGAGGTCTCTGTAGACTTCCCAGCTGGAAGGGAAAACTGAGACTCGGGTCAGGGATAGCACACCCAGCAGTGGTCAGCAGGACTCAAAACGGGTTCTGGCCCTTCCAGACCCATAGGTGTATTCCCTGTCCTGGTAAGCTAACTCGCACACCCGTCATCCCTCGTCACAGCTGGCTCTGCGTTTGGGTGTGGGTGGCTCCTGCCTGCGGCATCTTGGGGAATGGGACCTTTGTCTGTCCTCCTTGACGCTGGAGGTGCTCACTGCCCCGTGACTTCCCTTCCCTGGGGACTTGTCACACTTCCTAAGTCCAGAGTGGAGCCAGTACATTGGGGGTAAGCCTCCGATGTAGCAGGGGCCCACAGGGAGCCCATAGGGCTCAACGCCCCCTCCCAGGACAGCCGTGGAACCCCGGCTCTGCCTCCAGGTGTGGATGAGAATCTAGGCAAGTGAGAGGGCCGGGGGCTTGACTGCAGCTCTGCTCCTCGCAGGCTAACTGTTCTCTGAGAATAATAACAGTGATGGTAGGGTTTGACTCTGCTAAGCAGGGTGCAGGTGCGCCTCCATTTAAGCTTCACCCTACTTTAGGGGTGAGGAATCCCAAGTATCAAGAGATTAAAACCTGGCTGCAGGGGTCTCAGACTGGTTAAGCAACAGTCTAGATTTGCACGCACTCTGTGGGATCCGTGTACTGACTCCAAAGCTATACTGCCTTCACAGCCCCGGGTCCTTGATGAACAGAAGGGGACAGTGACTCCTAGGGCCGGAGGAAGAGGTGGGGATTGTCATAGTGCAGCCGGGCCTCCTGACCTGGCCCAGAACTACTGGAGTCCGTTCCCTTCTCGAAGGCCCTTACACCCCCCCACCTCCCCCCACCCCCACCCCCGACATCACTTGACCACCCATGCTAGCAGATCCGGCTCCTACACGCTGAGCCCTGGAGCCCAGTGGGCCCGGCTTCCGGCTGTAAAATTGATCAGCTGTGGGCCACCTCATTGCGAGTCCCACCCACTCAACACCCCTCACCCCAGATCAAGGAGCCCTGGTGGCTTAGCAGCTAAGCACTCGGCTGTCCACCGAGAGGTCAGCAGATCAAACCGTCTCCGTTCCGACGTGGAAACCCTACATGGAACAGAGCGAGACACGGCCCAGTCCTGTGCCATCCTCGCACCTGTGTTTCATATCATTGCTGCGGTCCGTCTCCCCAAGGGTCTTGCCCTTTCCCGCTGACCCTGTACTTTACCTACCATGATGCCTTTCTCCAGGGGCTGGTCCCTCTAGAGGACACGTCTAGATAGTCTGGGAGGCAAAGCCTCACCCTCTTACTCTCAAGAAACCTTTTGGCTGTGCTTCCTCCAAGATTCGATTGTTCTTCTGGCAACCCATTTCCTTGAGCACCACCGTCATTCCAAGACACCGGTACCTTTCAGTCATCTTTCATCCGTTCACATAGGATACCAGGCGGTGGAAAATACCGTGGCCTGGCGCAGGTGCACCTCAGCCCTCACAGGGACATCTGTGGTCTTTAACCCTTTTGAGAGGTCTTTCGGCAGGTTTGGTCCACGTTGTAATACCTTCGAGTCTTTTGACTTCCGTGAACTTGGACTGTAGCTACAAATCAAGTAGCGTTCTTGATGACCTCAGTCCTTTCTCCATTTGTCATAATGTTGTCTCTTGGCCCACGTGTTAGACCAGGTTGACTAGAGAAACAAATTCATTGACACTCATATATGTGTAAGAGAGCTTTATATCAAGAAGTAATTATGCACCAATAAAGCATCCCAGCCTAGTCCAGATCAAGTCCATAAGTTCAATATTAGCCCATATGTCCAATACTATCCCACGAATTACTCTTCAGACTCATGCAGCACATGCAATGATGCCAAATGCAGGAAGAGCACAGGCCAGCGGGTGGAAAGTCCTGTGGGTCCAGTGGCAGTGGAAGCATCTCAACGCTGGTGCGGGTCTGCACATGTCTCCTTCATCTCTGAGTGTCTCCTCAACAGGAAGGTGAAGCAGAGAGAGGGTGTGCCCTGCCTCCAGGGAGAGGCTGTAACCTGACTGACAGGCTAGACTCCACCCCTTCACTCTATTTATCAAGTTGACATGGAATTGTAACTATCACAGCCCAGTTGTCAGGAGTTTGGTTTTGTTTACATTGAGCTGCAATCGTCATCAGCAAGTGCTTCAAGTCCTCTTCACTTTCAGCAAGCAAGGCTGTGCCATCTACGTACAGTTGTTAACGAGCCTTCCTCCAATCCTGCTGCCAAATTTATCTCCACACAGCTCAGCTTCTCAGGCTATTTGCTCAGCACATGGACTGATAAGTATGGGGAACGCATAGAACCCTGACGCACACTGATCTTCCACCGTGTTGTGTCCCCTGGTTCTGTTGAACCACAGATCAGTGTCCACATGTGCACAAGTAAGTGTTACGGAATTCTCATCCTGTGCAGTGCGACCTGACTCTGTGGTGGTCCACATCACCACATGCCTTTGCACAGTCAAGGAAACATCTTTCTGGTGTTCTCTGCTTTCAGCCAGGCTCCTTCAGGCATCAGCAGTGATATCCCTCATTCCACATCCTCTTCTGAATCTGGCTTGGGTTTGTGACAACTCCCTGCCTGTGGACTGTGCCACCATGTTTCAATTATCTTCAGCAAAATTGTACTTGCAGGTAATAGTCAAGATTGATAGTTCCTGCATCCTGTTCGATCTCTTCCAGTTGGTTGACCAGGCAGCTGTCTTCCCAATGTCGTGGCATAGCATGCTTCTAGTGCTGCGTGGGGGTTTTGAGACATTGAAGTTGGTATTTCATCAGTCCCTGGAGCCGCTTGCTTGTTAATACCTTCATTGTAGCTTGCACTTCTTTCAGGGTCCTCGGTTTTCAGCACAAACTACCCCTTGGAATCGTTACCTGTTAACCACCTTCCCTTTTCTCTTTCCCATCTTTCTGATGCCCTTGCTTTCTGTGACGTTCTCACTGTCATCCCACACGCCTCTGGCCTGTGTTCATGAGTGTTCCCTGCATTCCGTCCATTCTTGATGGATTCAGGTGGGGTATAGCCCATGTTTTATTTTGCCTCTGCGGACCTGCTTCGGTTTTCCTCAGCTTCAACCTGAACTTGCTGTGAGTAATTGATGCTCTGTGCCCTGGTCACCGCCTGGCCTTGTTGGGCTGGTGATGTGGAGCTTCTCCAGCATCTCTTTCCACAGATGTATCGCCATCCATGTGGTTGGGAAAATAAGAAAGGTGTTTGCAACGTGAGTCCTTAGCCTTGCAAAGCCCTACCCTGCAGCTTCATTTCTATCACCGAGGCCCCATTTCCCAGTCATCGATCCTTCTTCCTGTTTCCAGCATTCACATTCCAGTCTCCAGTAATGATCCATGCACCCTGATTGCACGTTTCAGACCGAAGCTGGTAGAGATCCTCCGTTTGTTCGCCTCTGGCCTGAGTGGTGGTGCATCAAATTGAATGATACTCTGGGCAATGGATCTTCCTCGTAGGCATGTGGACATCAACCCATCACTGACAACACTGTACTTCATGATCGACCTTGAAATGGTCTTTCTGGTGATGAATGTGGCACTGTTCCTCTCGCGTTTGTCTTTCTGGCAGAGTACACCATGTGACTGTCTGATTAAAAGTGACTAGTGCCGGTCCACTTTAGCTCACTAATGCCTGGGAGATCGATCGATCCCTATGCGCTCCACGTCATCTTTGACAGCTCCCAACTGCCCGAGATTCGTGCTCTGTACAGTCCACGTTCTCGTTACTCATGGGCTCATTGTAAGTCATGCCCCATCAGCAGATGAAGGTCCCATCCACCTCATGATGGTGGACTTACGTAACTTTGAGGAACAGGGGAAAGATGAGACTTCCTACTCCCGTAAGGAGTTCCGAGCCTGGGACACCCATGGGGGCACTTCTGCCCTGTCCTCTTGGCTCGCGGTGAGCTGGCAGTGGCCCCATGGCAGGGAGTGAGGCTCTTTGGTTGTCTTGAGCACCTTCAGCCTTCGAGGCTCACGCTCTGGCCTTAGATCAGACTGTGTTCCACGGCTGTCCCTGAGACCCTGCAAGGTCAGCATTTCAAAACACCAGCTGCTCCTTGGGAGAAAGATGGGGCTTTCTACTCCCATAAGGAGTGGTGGTCTCAGAAACTCACAGGGAAGTTCTGCCTGGTCCTAGAGGGTCACTGTGAGCCCGCATCAGCTCGACGACAGTGAGTCTGGTTCTGTGGAAACCTTCTGTAATCCTAGGATAGCACACACCCCCACCCCCCTACCCCCGCTCTTTTTACCCCTTCATTTTCCCATGTAATTTTTGCTGAAGAAACCGGATTTTTTGGCCTGGGTCCAGCCCCGTGTTACTGTTTAACTTGTTCCTTACTTGCTCTCGTTGTCTGTAGATGCTTAGTTAGATCGATAACTCAGACTCACTGCCATCAAGGCGATGCCGACTCACAGCGACCCTACAGGGCAGGGTAGAACTGCCCCCTGGGAGTTTCTGAGGTGGTCACTCTTTAAGGGAGTAGAAAGCCAGGGCTATTTCATGAGGAGCACCCGGTGGTTCTGAACCACTGACCTTGTGATTGGCAGCTACAAGTGTAACCACTAAGTCACAAGGCTCCTCAGATCGACCATGGCCTAATAAGATTGAGGTTTGAGTGTTGAGGGAAGAGAACTTTATGGCTATTTCTGTGTATTTCCACCAGGGTGTATATAATGCCTAGTTGCTAAGTGATTTTTCTAAGAATTGATGCTCACTGCCTACTTCCATTAACTCATTAGGGCTCCGATATTCTGTTCCTAATATATATATATATATATATATTTACTTGCTGGAAATCCTTCAACAGAGAGAAAACTCATCTCAATTGTCTGGTTACCATAAGGTGCAGTTCAAACAAGAACGGCACATGCTCAGTGTGTGATTTGTCAGTTTTCACAGTAGCAGATTGGTTCTCCAGCACCCTCCAAAGTGTGCGTTTGCTTTTTAGTATCATTGATTTAGTATCATGGGTTTAAACATGCTGTGCTTGTTGGGAGGAAGCCTGCCTGGTAGTGTAGTAGTTACGTGTGAGACTGCTAACCTCAAGGGCAGCAGTTCGAAAGCACCAGCTACTTCCCAGGACTACCCTGTCCTGTAGATAGCTGTGGGGCAGCACTGACTCGATGGCAGTGAGTTTGGTTTGGTGCTTGTGAGTCTCAGTCCATTGGCATCGCCATCCTTCTTGATACCCAGGTTGCCCTTGGCTGGGCGCTGGGAACTTAAGCCACATGGACTCCTGAATCCGTGTGGAATCGTCCTCTCTGACATCTGAGGCCGCAGGGTGTTCCAGATGCACCCTGTGTCTGTCCTGACTTAGAGAAGGATCAGTCATCTCGCCAAAAAAATGCCGTGCTTTTTGTATGTTTGAATGGAAACCAATATTAGAGACTGTCACCTAGCCACTAGGGAGGCCCATTGCTAATGGGAAGTATCATTTAAATATTCCTGGGAATGGCCGTAGACACCCCCCTGCCCCCTGCCCCACCCACCTTCACTGCCAGCTGCAAACACTCCAGAAACGCTCCATTTTCCTACCCAGGCAACCGTTTCCTTTTCCTTTTTAGTGTTTGGTTGTGCTTTGGGTGAAGGTGTCCGGAGAGGATCAGTTTTCCGTCGACCATTCGTCCGCGTTCTGTTAGCCCTCATTGACGGCCGTCCCCACAGTCACATCCCTGATCCCACTTCCTCCCTGGGCTTCCTGTTCCCACTTCTCCTTCCTTCCCAGCCCTTCTAAGCTTGGTCCTCTGTGTGGGGCATGCTGTCCTCGTACTGCAAGTGGCTGATTACTCGTAAGGCCTGGGGACCTCCCTGGGGTTCTTATTCCCCTCATGGTCCCGGCTCTTGTTTGGCAGAATATTGAACGATGGGGGTGAGTTCATTTTCACACCCGAGCAGTGACACAGGCCCATGGTCTCCGAGGCTTCCCCCGTCTCTAGCAGACGGGACGGGTAGGCCTGGTCTCGCTGCTGATGTGGGTTCTGTTCTGTATTTGCTCCCGTTTACCGAGGACCCCTAATGCGGGCACCCTCTCGTTCTTCTGGTGCCAGGGTCTCAGAGACTGAGGTCTGCTGGATCCACAAGGCCGTGAAACGAGTGTTTCTAGGCATCAGTCCTCTTCCCTCGGCACGGGAAAAGACCACAAGATGTCCTGGGGGGATCATTTTCCTGTGCAGGGTGCCCCGTTTCTAAGACAGCGAGGCCTTTGCTGTGGGGAGGAAAAGAGAAGGTAGTCTGGTAGTAACAGTCAGCTTAGTGCCATGAACACCCAGGTTGCCTGGCTGAGGTTCTGCCCTGTGAAGACGGCATCCAGCGCAAGACACACTTCCATCAATCTCATCACAGCCTGGTGGAGAAAAAAGAAAAATTACCTCTGAGACTTATCCCCAATCCAAAACTTTAAAGTATAAATGTGTTTCTTTAAAATTTTATTTTCGAATCTAGGAAGTGCCACAGCACTCCCAGGTCAACACTGTAAGGTTCCCCGGAGTTTCAGGGGTCTGGTGTCGTTGGGAGGCTCTTGGAATTGAGGGGAAGAAGTGAGGGTTGATCAGGAGGCTGGCAGTTGGGTCCTTGTCCCTGGGGCAGGCCTCCCAGGGGCTTGGCCAGCCACATGGGCCAGAGCCGGCGAAGGACCTGGGGGCTGCGCAGGCGGGGCACCCAGCAGCGGCATGGTCTGGTCTGTGGACATTGGGAAGGCAAAGCCAGGCAGTCTGGAGCAAGGGACCCAAACCCCAGAAGGAAGAGTCTGCAAAAGGGACCAGGTGAGGCGTTCAGAACAGTGGGTGCTGGGGCACCCTGGTCATGGTGGGGGATTGCCCTGGGGTGCCCAGGCCAGACCAGCTCACTGCAGAACCACCTGCCCCCCCTACCTGTGCTGGTCCAGAACCAGGAGGTGCTCGGTTCCCCCTGCTCTGCTGCTCCAGGGGCTCCCGCCCTCCATCCTGAGACAGGAGGCATCCAATTTCATCCTAAAGGCAATTCAGCCATTTTACAGAAAGTCTAGAAAATAAGAGGAAAATATCCCTCTACCATTTCCACCCGCGATTCTGCAGGAAAAAGATGCAGCCGTCTGCTCCCACGAAGCGTTACAGCCTGGGAACCCTATCTAGGGTGACTGTGAGTCAAATGGACTCTCTGGCTGCAAGCTGCCCGGCGGACTCCTCACGGCCCTATCTGACGGGTAGAGCGAGCGCTTCCCAAGATTGCCGATCTGGATGGCAGTCAGAACCTCGCCTCTCTCCCCACAGAGCAGCTGGTGGTTTCAAACTGCTGTCCTTGCAGTTAGCAGCCGCGTGTGTAGCTCACTACACTGTCAGTGCCCCGTGGCTTTGGGCAGAGGGAATGTGTCCAGGTACCAGTTCCTCTGACATCTGGCCCTTGGCCCCACTGTCCAGCTGTATTGTCCTCATCCCTGTTGCCCTGAGCCCCGTTCCCTGTCTTTGGAGATTTTCTCGTCAGGCCCTGAGAGAACCCCTGCCCTGGGCGGCCACCCTGGAGAGTTACCCACTTTTTTTTTTATTTTTATTTTTTAACATTTTATTAGGGGCTCATACAACTGTTATCCCAATCCACCCACTTTTAAGTTGGCTGACATCTCCTGGGTGACTTGTGGTTGAAGAGGTTTTTCTGGCCCTGGGCTGCAGCCTGCCATGCACCGCCCAGGGCTTGGGGAACAGGGACATGCAAATGAGGTAAGTTGTAGCCTATGATGCAAATAAGTGTGGCCTACCAAGAGGGGATTGGTCAGTTCATGGTCTCTCCCCACCCCACCCCCAGGGGGAGGGGGCCGTACCTGGAAAGTGACCAGGCGTTGTGTACACAGTAGCCAACCTGGCAGAGGTTTTTGAGGGGGAAAGCAGCAACAGGAAGAAGCAGAGTGTGTGTGGAGGGGGTGGGGGTGGGGGGCAGGAACCCCCCACCGGAATTGTCACACTGAACAAGGACTATAATGCTGGAAGGCAGCGACTGCCCTGAAGGGGCCCAGTGGCAGGACCAGCAGCAACGGAGAATGGAGCCAAGAGGAGCCTGCCCTCAGAGTCAGGGGACTAAGTGGGGGGTGGGGGGGTCTTACCCAGCGGCAGGAAGTGAGAGAGCTGCCCAGCACTGAATAAGGGAATAAGGGAGATTTTTCCCCTCCTTGCTTCCTGATCGCGATCCCAAGTGGCACCCCGTTCCTTAATAAGCGCCTTTATTGTGTTGGGGAGTTGTGTGCGCTCATTGCAAAGGCTTGAAACCCAGCAGCAACGAGCAGAGTGCTGAGGGAGAGGCAGCCGCTGTCGGCCCTGGTAGAGAGGAGGGGGAGTAGAGGCCTGTCTGACATCTGCCTCACAAGAGCCAGCTCGGGAGTGGAGCCCCCTCCTCCTCCTCCAGGAGGCTAGGCAGGCTCTGGTGACATCACTGCCCCTCCTGCCAGGCGCCGCCCATGCTGCCCCATCACCCCTTTTAGGTTGCTGCCTGTCTGTCCTTTTTGCTGCCATAAGTAAAATGAATGTCTTTTTGTGCAGATTGCTTTTGTTTGCACACGGAAAGAATCTTCCTTAAAAGAATTCCAGAGATAGGACCATTGGGTTAAAAAGCAAACAAGCACACACACACACACCCCCAAACAAAACTCCCTGCTATTGATCGAGTGAGTGCCGATTCATAGGGACCCAAGAGGACAGGGCAGAACTGCCCTGTGAGTCTCCCAGACTGAGACTCGGCAGGAAGTGGAAAGTCCGGTCTTTCTCCCACAGAACGGCTGGTGGTTTCAAACTGCTGACCTTGCTGATTGAAGCCCAACTCTCAAGCACCCTACCACCCGGGCTCCTTACTGGGTTAAAGGATGACGCAGTCCCCTGGCGATTGCCGCCTCACACCTCCATGGCCATAAAAAGACCTAAGCGAAACCCGCTGCCCTGAGTGCATGCTGGCTCCCAGTGACCCTGCAGGGCAGGGTGGACCGGCCCCTGCTGGTTTCCAAGGCTGCGACCACTCCATCTCTTTTCAGCAGAGCAGCGGGGGGGAGGGGGAGTTTTGAACCGCTGACCTTTCAACAAATGTGCTGCCGGGGCACCTATTTAAGGGCACAGACTCGTGTCTATTTTTTCCGTTATTTTTTTCTTACCCAGCTTCACCTGAGGGTGGGCCCCGCTGTTTTCGTCAGTCACACCTGCCCTTAGCGGGCCTCCCCGGCAGGGCTGGCACCAAGGGCTTGGGAGGAGAGATGGTTGGGACCTGGCCACCTGCGGGCGCTCTCACGGTGCCACCACCTCCCTGTTGCTCGCAGGCTGATCGACGGCGTGAACATCACGACAGAGGACGAGCACATGTGGCTGATCCCCTTCTCCCCGGGACTGGACCACCTGGTCACGGTGCACTTGGACCAGGCCGAGAGCATCACGGGCCTGCGCTTCTGGAACTACAACAAGTCCCCCGAGGACACCTACCGAGGGGTGAGCAGGGACACACAGGCCAGCTCCGCCTTCCGCCAGAATACCACCCTAGGGGCCCTTCCGGATGGAGCTGCTGGTGATGGCCTGGGAGAGCATCCTGCTGTCCCTGTCCACTTCTGCCAACAGCAGAGGCAGGCGGAGCGCCCAGGGTCGCCCCTGTGTGTGTGTGTATGGGGGAGGGGGCGGACACAGAGCCTTGTTTCTCCTGGGGCAGTGAGGGGGTGTGTGGCAGGCTCAGTCCCCGCCTGGAAGGCAGGCTATGCCCCTGTGAGGGCTTCTGAGAGCCAGGCCCTGTGCTGAGGGCTTCGAAGACATTTGTAGGACCCTCTGCTCAGAATCTGCGGGGCAAATATAATTCACCCCGGGTTCCAGGCTCAGAACGGTTCTAGGGTCACTATGCAGCTCTGCCTGACCCAGAGTCTCCTGCTGCTGCAGGGTGGGAACAGGCAGGGTGCCTGTGGCTTGGCAGTGGTAGACCATGGAGATGCACGTCGGGAGCTCGCCATTCCCACGGGCTCCTGCTCTTGAGCAGCTGGAAGTCGGCGAAGGAGGGTTGTTCCCTCTGGAGAGAAGGGATGCCAGGAGCCCTTGTAGGAGGGCAGCTCTGCTGGGGCCTGACCCTTGCCAGCTCTGTGTCTTTGTTGGGATGTCCTCCATCCACAAACCCAGGGGGGTGCTTCCAGTGGTCTCGCCGGGTCATGGGGCCGGGGCCTGGCCCCCAGTCCTGAGTGCACACTGGGCGCCCTGCATCTGCTCTGCCACAGAGCGCTGCCCACAAGCCCTCTGCCCACAGTGCCAAGCGTGGCCGACCACGCCCCCAGCATGGCTTGTCTGACACACGGTTCACAAACCCTCCAGAGCCACCCGGGCCTTCAGAGGGAGCTCAGTCAGCGTAAAGTCAGCTACATTGACATAGATAATACTCCTCTGCCTTAAGACGTGCCCGTGAGCTTCAGATTCCCTTGAGCAAAGCTGTCTTTCGGGCTGAGCTTCAGCGGCCTGAGTATGTGGCCCAGGCTCCCTACTTCACAGGGCCAGGTGGGCAGGGGGACACGAGGCAGACAGGAGCTGGCATGGGACCTGAAAGGGTGTCCCTGAGGGCCATGGGACAGACATGATAGGCACTTGCCCCAGGTCACCTTGGGCCCCTGGTTGTGGTTAGCGGCAGGACCCTGGGCTCGAGGGGTAGGTGGGGTAGGGAGCGGCTTCATACCCCTTCTTTCTTCCACTTGGTCCTCAGGCAAATGGCTTCGCTGCTTTGAACCCTGCTTCCCTAACCACTCGGGGGCATCCACCCCCTGGGGAATGGATAAGGGCAGGGTGCTTCCTGCAGGGCTCTGGAGGGAGCGGCAGTGCTTCCTGGGCTTCTGCATTTCCTCTGTGGGGCTTCATTCCCAGTCCCCCAGGGGACTCTTCCTGACAGCCCCCCCCCAACCCCACCAAGTTCAACAAAAGAGAACCCTGGTTCCACAGTGAGAACCCCAGTGGTTGCTGTGACCAGTTCCCGGTGCCTCAGGCCCCTGCATCTGCTGACGCCACAGGACCTTGGCCCAGTCCCGTCTGTCCCCAAACGTGCGGGCCAGAGGGCATGTGCTGTGGCTTCGTGGCAGGAGCTCCTCCCTTGTGTGTCCCTGCTGGCTGCCTGGCACCTGGCAGGGAGAAGGAATAGCCCTGGAGAGTGGAGCCCAGCCAGGTGGCCCTGGCCTGTTCCTCAGGCTCAGCAGCCCCTGCAGGGAGCACCCCTGCATGCCCCATACTGGCTCGGCTTCCTCATGCCCGGCGTCCCGTGTTTGCAGGCCAAAATCGTCCACGTGTCCCTGGATGGCTTGTGTGTGTCCCCCCCAGAGGGCTTCCTCATCCGGAAGGGCCCAGGAAACTGCCACTTTGATTTTGCTCAAGAACTCCTCTTTGTGGACCACCTGCTGCCCCGACCGCTGCCCCCACCAGCCAGGAGGTGAGTGGGCAGCTGTGTGTGTGTGTGTGTGTGCATGTGTGCAGTCCACCTGATGGGTTTTGAAGTGTTGATCAAAGCCACCGCCTTCTAACTGGACCGTGTTTTAAAGCTCGGCAAGCTGCTCTGGAAGGCCATGCGATGCAATGCGCCTGCTCTGTCGAGGCTGCCCGGGCTTCTCACTGTCTGGCTGCCTCCGGCTCGAAATGTTCCACTGAGCTTCCCGCTGGGAAGAAAGGCCAAGCCGCCTCGCTTCCACAAAGGCCCGCTGGCTGACCGTGGAAGGGCCTGCCTTCACTGGCTTCTATGTTCTCGGTTTAAAAGGCGTCAAAGAGAAAAATAGAGGCTAAGGTTTCATGGATTCCCTGGGATTTCCATGGCCCCAGCCTCTGCAGCAGTCGGTTCATAACAATTTGTAAATGCCACGTTATGTTTACTCATCGAAACCCCTGATGGCCCCTGTTGCCAGAGGCCACGCTCTCAAAAGAAAACGAGCTTCCCCACCGGAGCATCGGTTCCGCCCTGGACGCTGGACATAGGCACTGAATTATAACCTTGCCCCTGACATGGAAGGCAGGCCTTGCTGGAGGGGGGCTGCCTGAGAAGCCCCGTTGGAGGATCTTGGAGAGCCAGGGCCCCCTCCCGAGTGCCTGCCAATTCAGGGTGCTTTGGGCCTTCCAATACCTTCCAGAACCTCCTGACAGCCTTAGCGGGAGGGGGCTGCCCGGCCCATTCCACAGACCTGGAGATGGTGTAACCTGCTGGTGATGCCACTTGCTCAGGACACAAAGCCAAGGCTTCAAGTCCCTCTGCTCCCACAACCTTGCCCTTCCCCGTGTTCATCTGGCGACCCTCAGGGGGGGCAAGCTGGTTGTGCCCCAAGGCTTTGCTCCGGCTGCTCCAGCAGGCCTCTCCTGACAAGTCCCAGTCACTACCCGGCCCCAGCCCGAGCCTCGAACAACTGCAGAGAGCAGCCAAGTCTGTGCAGAGGCCAGTGACTGAGAAGGCCCTGCATCCGAGCAACCTCTAGCTGAATGCCTGGGCCGCCTCCTACCAGCTGGGTGACCTTGGGCAGGTGCCTTCCCCCTCTGGGCACCCTCCTCCCCATCTGTCACTGGAGTGCTGGCAGGAGCCGCTTCCCATGGTGGTCTGGAGACACGAGGGCCCCTGTGGGCACAGCTAAAGGCAGTGGTGCCTGGCTGGCAGAGGGAGCCTTGTCTGGGCGGCATTGGCTCCCACGGTCCCTCCAGAACAGGGGGCTCAGCTGCCCTGCAGCCCCCCTGGGTCACTAAGGTGCCA